AAAAAGAACTAAGAATTATATCCCTGCTACCCCCTGAAGGTTATTATTCATTTAGAAAGAAAAATAAGAAGTTCACATCTGACCTGAGGACAAAATACTTGGGTCAGAGGATTCTTGAACAAGAATTCTCACAAGATGCAACCCATGAAAGCAGAACTATGTGAATCAAAAACTAGAGAAGAAAATAGTATGACACAGATACTGAAGGATTAAAAGTTATAGAGGGTTTTGGAAGAACCCTACATGTTCTCCCATCCAATTCTTAAAAGTGTAACATTGTGATAATTCATTATCCTGTTCATAGCTGATTTAAGATGTAATTTTGAGCAAAACGTGAAAATAACAGGGCTCCTCAGCCTCTTATTCTATACACCCTACCTGGAAGGAAATCGCCTTTATTCCAGTGGCATCTGCTTCCAAATAGGCTTAAGACAGCATTCCAGTGATCCAATTACCTCTCCTTGTTTTTCACAACCATTCACAATTTTATCAGTGAATTATGGAATGCCATTTTATTCTGTAAGTGTACTCTGCAGTAGTGCAACCCTAACATTTGTAAACTCATTACCTGTATTAACTGTTGCAGTGCAAAGAGTGGACACCTTCAATAATGAGTAAACATGTATTTGTAGACATTAGCAGAACCTGCTGGATAAGAGCCGGGTCCATCTTGTCCAGCATTCTGTTCACACAGTGGCCAGCCAGTTCATGGGAAATATTCAAGCAGGACTTGATTGCAGCAAGTCTTGGCCAAGTCCCCTGAAACTGGTATACACAGGGGTGCTGTGGTGGCTGATAGAGCCTTCAGGACTAGTAGCATCCTCCAAAACCTTGTCCCCTACAATGGTTTGGAAGAATGGATTTTTGCATTACAAAAATCTGTAGGAATAAGTGGTGAAATAACTGTGAGGTTTTAACATGGAACAAATGGATATCATGTGTTTGATATCCATTTATCCACAATTTAATTGATATTGTGATTTTCTGCAATAATTGAACACAGAGTACCATACAAAATAAAGATAATCATAGAAAGTAGAAATTATATTAATCCAGTTTAAAAGTTGCTATTCACAGTTATCAAGTGTTTATGCTGAAATCTGAAGGGCAGAATAATACTATCTCTGCAGAACAGAAATTTTGTGTACTTTATTTCTTTATTTCTTTGATTTTTATGCTGCCCCATAGCCAAATGGCTCTCTGGGTGGGCTACAATATAACAATGTACATTATAAATTAGAATATAAATTATCCAATAAAATTTGCCAATTCAAACAGACACAAAAAACCCACAATAAATTCATACCATAACCATAGTTTGTTGTTGCTGCTAGTCGTGAAGTCATGTCCGACCCATCGCAACCCCACGGACAACATTCCTCCAGGCTTTCCTGTCCTCCACCATCTCCCGGAGTCCACTTAAGCTCACCATAGTTCATAAACCATAGTTTGTAAACTATCAAAACCATTTAAAGGCACAGTTGCACAAGATATAGCAAGTGTCAGGAAATCTTTAAAATTATATTAACAATTAAAATATTTGGTGAATAAAAAGGTCTTTTAGAACCCTTTTTTAAAAAGTTCAGTTAGTTAAATTCATAAACCTGTGCACTTAAAATGGCGAACTGCCCATTTTTCTGTTTGGATGTTGATATATATTTAAGATAACAGCTGCTTCCCTCTCTAAAGCACTATTGTAGGTGCTTGTGCTGAGCCAATTACTGTGCCATGGGAAAGGAAGCTGAGTTAGTTCAGTATCGGGACACACAATCCCATGTTCCTTGTTTTGTTTTGTTCACCACTGTAACTTAACCTGCTCTTGGAAATAGCATAAAGAACCTGTTCTGCATGAAAGAAATCTGTATTTATCCTGAGGGGTTGAGACCTGGCTTTGTTAGCTTCTTTTCTTGTTGGGTTTCTGTCAAACAGAACCTCACTAATTAGACATTAGAACTTATGACAGTATGTAAGTTCCTGCTGGATTTCTGTGAAAGTAACCAGATTTTTCATTTAAAAATAATATCAGCTGTTTAATTACCAAGCGAAAGATTCCACCTTTAATGTTACCAGCTTATTTTCTTACATCAACATACATGCATTTACATATTACTTTAATCATACTTTCATAAAAGCGCATTCCATTGCTGTCCAATGCTTATGAAAGCTTATTTCCCTATGTGCTTAGAACTGTGTCCTAAACTTTTTTTTAAAAAAAGTTCAGAGCCACTTTGCAGTCACAGCAAAAGACTGCTATGTTACAGAAGTGTACCTTTCAAGAACAGCACCTACCTAGTAATAACGAAGTCCCACTGATTTCTGGTTTAAAGTCTGGATCCATTCCAACCCAATGTCTTATCAACAGACTCTTTCATTGGAGGGAGGGGGAGCAGGTACTTCTATGATTTTTATAATGTAAATTAAAACAAAATGGAAAATGTCCCATGTGCTATAGTGAAGTCCAGCCATTAGAGTTCTAATACTGTATTATCTTCTCTTAAGGGTTTGCAGTTCAGCAGTATATGCTGAAAAGTATACTTTAATCTGAAAATTTAAAGAAAAATATACTTTAATCTGAAAAGTATGAGTAGCACATTTTAAGAATTAAAATATCAACTGTCAGCAAGACTGCCTGGTTTGCAGCTGAAACAAGGCTAACTTGGGACTCGCTGCACTTGGTTAATGCATCTATTGATGCAAGATAGATCATGGCTTTCTTGGGCACTGGTCTTGTACACTATGCACCACTAGAGCTTGACAACAACCCATGTTTAGAATCCGTGTCTGTGTTGTCAAGGGCTATCCAACATGGATATCTCATGAAATGAAGTTCTCACTCAAAACCATCAGCACAATTGTTTCTTTTTGATAAAGAAATGCCTCTTAAAAGGAAAACATGAATGCATTGGGAAGGGGGGAATAGTCTAGCTTAGGCAGTGTCCAGAAGTGACATATATAAGGCGTTATTATTTTTAAAAACTAACAAAGTATATCTGGTTAAAATATTAATATTTCCATCATTGCCAATTTAATATGAGTTCATGGAGAAATGGTTGCTAATATTTTTGTGCATTTCAGCAATGGCATTTTCTTGTCAACCTCTGAAAAATTTCCAGATATCAAAATCTTAAACTTGTGATTCAGGTTAGAACTGTTTGTGTGGATTTGCAAGCCTACAGGCCAATATCAATGTTTACAGTTTCAGATTTGACTGCCAAATCTAACGGATCTGATGCTTTTTATCTCATGATCTCTAAACATCAGGAAGATTATTCTGGGTTAATTACTAGGATAGTGGTTTGATGTTGCACATTGTGTCAATGTCAATTTACATGGATTGGATGATATCTAGAGTGTTATTGGTTATCAGAGATGTGTATAAATAGTGGAACAGCAGTGCTTTTAATGTGGTCTCATTAGTGATGGCTGCAATGTACGAATTTGCTTTGAAATAAGCAAACCAAAATAAGTGGCCTGCAGTACCACAGTTTACTGTTGCAGTACTCATACAGAAGAGCAATAAGCAGTATCAGAAAGAAAAGGTTCTGTAAATTTTGCAAGTCTTTTTTCAAATGATCCTTATTCTGACCCTATGCAGATGATGTTCAAATACACTGTAGCTGTTGCCACCTTGTTATTACATCCCATAATAAGGCCTTTTCATGCAGGGTTTCCAGGATCATTCAAGTACTACCATTGCCAGCATCAGTGGCCTCCATGGATATGCACTGGCATGCTCACTCTCTGTGAGGTCTGACCCTCCCCACCTGATGTGACCCCCCCCCCACACACACACACTTATTTCCTCTTCAAACATTCTAGACCAGCATTGGATTCCACTGAAAATTCAGGCCTCTCTGGAGTTCATGTGTTGGCTCTGCAACATGCATAGAGACACAGATACCATTTTAAAGAATTCCTTCCAGAAACATCCATAGGCCTGTGATAGTTTGGCCATGGATCTTACTAAAACAAACAAACAAACAAAAAAAAACCTCTCAGGGCCGACTGATGTGAGAGGGAGAATTGTGGACATGGTTTCCAGCTGCTTATCAATGCAAAGTTCACTAGCAACATGGAATACTGCATGTTTACCTTCATTTGAGTAGATGCAGCACTGCCTTGCATCCCCCAAAGCTGACAGAGGATGGAATATAACCAACAGACTGGGTCACCAGCCTGCAGTGAAGTACAAGATTCTTAAGCAGTGAGGACCAGGAGGGTCGGCTCTATGGGGGCAACTATGCATAGCGCTGTCTGCTCTCCAGTTCAGAAGACTAGAGGGAAAACCGGAAGAGTTATGCACGTGTTATTGCATGGACAATAACGGATAGCACACTTAGGTTTGGGCTCCTAACGTGAAAATGTTGCTTTAAAAGTTGCCCACTTACTGATTCACGCCATCTGAAATGCAGGCTGCGCTGCATGGCAGACACAACCTTTAAGGGCCGTGCTTCGTTCCAAGGGAAGCTGGGAGCAAGAGGCATCTGGTTATTCTGATTCCTGGTAATATATCCTTCCCCAGGACAAGAGCACGCACGCCAGCCCGTATCTGCTGGCGAACGCGGGCAAAAACGCCTCGTCAGAGCGCCTCTCGCTTCCAACGCGAGGGCTTGGTTAGCTGAAGGGCACTGGCTGGCGCACTCACGCCACAGCCGCTGCCGCTCCTGCGCCTCCGTAATGGCATTAAGGCCCGCCGCGCTGGGGTGAGGGGGAGGCGGCTCTCCGCTCTCTCACTGTGGGAACTTGGAAAAGTCCAAGGAACTAAACTGGGGCAGGGGCGGGCGGAAGGCCCAGCCCCCAAAGCACCTTGGTAGGAGATGGAGGTGGGATGTTGGCTCTCCTCGGTGCCCCCCCGCCGCACGTCTCCCCTGATCGGCACCAGGTTTGATGCTGCAAGGCGTGTCTAGTGCCGCGCTCATGTGATGGAGCGGCGGGCGGGGGACCAGCGAGGAGGGGGCGGACGAGATGCGTGTGGTGTCGGCTGGTGTATGCGCGTCTTTTTTTTTTTTTTTTTTAAAGGAGTTTGCGGAAAACCGCCGGGCTCCGTCAGTCGCAGCCTGAGCAGCCGAGATTGAGGAGGGCGGCGCAGCACCCCGACATCTTTATTCTCGCTATCCCCGCGTCGTCGTTCCTGGGCGGGAACCGCGGCTCTTCGGGCAGAGGAGGTGCGGGAGACGACGCCTTAAGCAGCCGCTCGCCGCCACACCGCCGAGGGCAGCCATGGGAGCGGGCAGCTCTGCGGAGCAGCGTAGCCCGCAGGACGGGGCCACTGCAGCAGGCGAGTCCCAGCCCGGCAGCCCCGAGGAGCAAACGCCGACGGCGGCCGAGCCGGAGCAGCCGGAGGACCCCGCCAAGGTACGAGCCTCTCCCGCGGGGCGCACCGCCGAGGGAACCGGGCGGCGGGTGTTTGTCATTCAGGCCGCTCCGCTCAGGGCGCAGTCAGCGCAAACTTTCTGGCGGCGCCCAGACACCTGCGCAGGGGCGCGCGAGCACCTGCCTCCCCCGTCGCCCCTGCGTCCCTCCCGTCTGGGTACGTGCGCGCAGGGCGGCGCGGCGAAGTTTGGCCGGGCTGGGCGGGGCGCGGCGCAGCGCGCTCGCCCGCCTCATCTCTTCCAAGCAGCGAACTGCGCAACCGGCACCTCCGCAGTAATAAACTCCAGCTTCCCTTTGTCTGTCGGAAGCAGGGCGCCCCCCTTCCTCAGGAGCCCTTGGCGCAGGCGACGGGCGGAAGAGTCGCCGCCGCTGGAGCGCCTGCCCGTGTCCCTTGGCCGTTCGGCAGCGCGGCCTGCGTCGCCGCCGGTCTCGCCGCACGCCGCCTCGCCCGAGCGCTCTCGGGGGCGCCCGATTCAGGGGGCGCGCCCGCCCCCCGCTCCACTCGGCGTCCGGGGCTCCAGGCACTGAGGAAGGAGGCGTCAGGGCCACCTCCCCTTCTCCCGTTCCCTGTGTCTGCCTGGTGCGGCGGAAAGACCCCACCCTATGGCCGGACGGCAGGCGCTGCGCCGCGCCGCGCCAAGACCTTGCTGACTGCAGTCCTGCAGCTCGCCCGTGCTTGGTGGCACCTGGGGCCGCTGCCATCGTCTTCCTGAGAAGATGCGAGTGGGAGGGGTGTGGGAAAGGGTGTGGGAAAACACGCGCACCGGGGTGTTTTCTGCATTGACAAGTGTGGTACAGCCAGGTTCCGCTCCCACCGCTCCCCGCCATATCGACCTGCTTCAAAGTGCGGCACGTGTGCAGAATAGACAACGCACTGGGCGCTCTTCAGTGCTGCGCGAACGCGCAGTGTACACAGTTTGCTTAGGCGAGCAAGGTTTACAAAAAACGGCCCGCAGTTTCTAGAACTACTTTTCATAAGAAGCTGTATTCCCAGCCGATTTGACCGAATGCTGTCATTTATATGTTGCATTGGAGAATTAATGCAGCATTGGACAAACAAACGGGATCTGCTTCAACATGTTTTTCTGTGCATTTGTTTTGCTACATTTGCAGTCTTCCATACTGCACTTATGTTCAAGAGGGAAGACTTTCTTGAGATGTGTTACTTCAATATTTCTTAAATTATTCAGGCTTATCACACATAATGGTTGTCGTCAATATGTCAGGTTCTTTAAAATAGTTTTCAATATTTTCTCTGAACTATAGATGGAATCTTTCAAGCTTACTGTTTCGTGGATCAAATGTGTGGATGTTTCTAAAGCTTGAGAACTGGTAGTGACTTTGTTTTTGTGACCTTGGGTCTCAGATAGTAACTCCCAGCAAGAATTTTCCATAGTTGCTGTCCTCCAATGCATACTGTTGACAGTGGTATTTTTTAAAGTGTGTTTGTGCGTTTGAGTGTGTGTTTTTAAAAAGTAAAATAGAACGAAGTATTTAATAACCTGAAAAATAAATCTTCTAATGTCACTTTTCCAAAGCAAAAATTTCATAGTGAGCAAACAGTTCTTTGTTGAGAGATTATACAGCTACAGTACAAAAAATGTAACAACAGAAATGATTAAATGTGTCAGAAGTATCTGACTGCAGTGATAAAATAATGTTGGCTTCAAGCTTGAGAAAGAAAAATTCCTGCTGAGAAGGTCAAGCCAGCATCTCTTAAGCTATGTGAAAAAGTATAAATTATTTACTATGTTTCAAATCCTGCTGAATGTTAACTTCCAGGAAGAGACTTAAGTATCTGTATCCACATGAATCCAGTTGTCAGCATCCGGACAAACAATGTGATTATTTTAATATTCACTGTTCTATCCAGAGGAAATTATATCTTAAAATTCTGAAATATAAATCAATTATTTTAAACAGCATTTCACCTCTGTCCAAATAAATGCAGTTGTTACTTCAGTGAAAGCCAATGGATAACAATGGAAGACATTTCTAACAAGGATTTTAAACTCCCCCTTGGGCTAGTGAGACCATCAAAGCATTAGCCTCTAACTAAAGGACCACACAGCCTTGGGTTGGGGAGTAAAAGGAAGGAACTGGGAGTTTCCAACCTACAACTGCATTCACATACTCTCCCATCCACTGCTGAGGTCATGGATTCACCCAGACAAGAAGCACGCCAGGTCTACTTTCTTAAAGGTAGCTCTGCCTCTTTTTTCTCCAAAGAGAACTGTACCTTCCAGGGGCATTTCCTATCATCAAACCTGTGAACAGTGTTTGGGATTACAGTGGGGAAAGAGGCTCCACCTTGCTTGCTTCATGCCCTGTCCTGTTCCCGAAGCTAGTTCTTCAAGAATCCTGCTGGATCAGACTAAGGATCTATCTAGTCCATAATCCTGTTTCCCTCCATGGTAAGCCAGATGTTTCTGGAAAGCCCACAGAAAGAACATGAATGGTATGTCCACTCCCATTGTTTCAGCATCTTGCATTAGGAGGCTTTGAATATAGTGGTTTGATATAGTCATTATGACTAATGGCCTTTTATGGACTTATCCTCATGAGTTTGTCTACCACTGAAAAGGCCATCTAAGTTATTAAACATAACATCTTGCAGTGATGAATTCCATAAGTTAATTCTGTGGGTAAATAACTTCGGGTGGGTGTGGATTTGCAGTGGATAAATTAATAAAATCTATTGACTCTGCCTTCAGTAGGCAAGAGATTTAGAGATAACCAGGCCATTGAGTGTTGGGGGTGGTCAGCCAGCTCTTCCTGAATGGCAATATTATACCCAACTATCCACACTTCCCTTTGTGAATTATTCATAAACATTCTTCTTTATGGAAGAAAATAAAGGCATATGTTCAGGAACACCACTGGAATAGGGAATCACTCTTGTTTCCAGTCCAGGATGATCCCAATCTATCCTGCAAAGCAGGATATAACTCTTATCTGTCAGACTATTTATCAACTAAAACTCATTGGGAATCCCTGGGAAGTAAGATAGTAACTACATGCTTAGTCTTACCCAGCCCTAGATGGTGTTTCTTAGAATATGAGATGGGGTAAATGATTACTGGGAACTTGTTTCTATATTACTACTACTATTGTTACATTGGATTTATATCTCTCCTTGTGAAGAACGAAAAGTGGCTTCCATAGTTCCATTTTATCCTGATAAGAACAACCCTGTGAGATAGGTTGGGCTGAAGATGAGTGACTGGCCCAAAGTTGCCCAGTGAGCTTCACGGCTGAGTGGCAACCAGAGCCCAGATCTCCCAGGTCCCCAGCCCAAGGCTAATCATACTGGCTCTGTATGAGGTTGTGGCAAGTACTGTGGGACTTGGAGAACATTTCAAGACCCAAGAGGCCCTTGCATGTGATCCACAATACACAAACAGCAATTAAGCTGAGTATGATGTTAAGCTATATATGAACTTGTAGATTATTACATAATGTGAGATTAAAATTGTCTTCTCATAATAGCTACATGTTTGTGGCATCTATTTGATCCATATAAACTTATCAGACAGAGTTGCAGTAACTTTGAGTTGTAATTTAGGAACATGGGAGGAAATTATTCTATCTCCAACACTCAGTATGAAGTTGTTTGAGCATAGTTATCACTGTCCTTTGCTCAAAATAATGCAGAACACTATAGTAAGAGTATATTAAGAATTGCCAATAGAAAAGTTAATTGCACCGATTAAAAATAATCCAGTATTATATACACAAGATTACATTCTTACATATGCTACAGTCCTTACAATAGAGCTACTTGTCACTCCTGATTCTGTGCCCACAATCATTAACTCAAGTTAAAATTACTACATAACATGCTTATGTTTTTATAGTGCATTTACCACCTACCAGTGTTATACCAACTTAGAGTAATGATTATTGATAATGAATTTTTGTTAAGGGATCCTAAATAGGCATCCTGCAACACATGGAATATCCATGCCCTTTTCTACAAAGAAGGGCAAATGATTGTTATATTCTTAGAAAACTGAATCAAGGTGCTATAGGATGGAAATGGGGTTTTTATTGCAAATAGAAACAGGAGTTACAAAGTTGTATACCAAAATGTTAAGTGTGTTTTCTCATGTCTTTGTCAAACCTCATGTTGGCCTTTGCATGACTAAATGAATGTATTCAAAGTAAAATCACTCCCTACAACACAATCCAGTGAAAATCCTACACTAATGGTATGTATCCATTTCAAATCAGAAATCTCTAGAATTTAAGGAAGATGAAATCAAGTGCACAGAATGTATATTTATCTTTTGAGAGAAGATGCTGCTATTGATACCAGTGCTAATGCTCAGTGCTTTGGTATCCACCTCATAGCTGTACTAACAGTGTGATCCTGTATATTTCTTCACAGGAGTAAGTCCTCCTGAATTCAGTGGAACTTACTCCCAGGTAAGTATATATAGGGTTGCAACCTAATGCACTAATCTTCACATTTGTCAAGAGTATAAAAGTATATCCTGCTGTTTTCCAAATTATGATCATAAAAGCAGAATGAATAATTAATGCTAATGTAATTCCTTTGGCTTTCAGGATCTTATTTTTGTTCGATCAAGTGAAAGCAAAATAGAAGGAAGTAATTTAGCACTTACTTTTAGTCTTTCCCTTTCCATGGTTTGCATATTTAATCCTCAAAACCAAATAGTTCCTCTACACTGTGTTTGATACCGAATGATGGTATCCAAACACTTTGGATGGTATCCAAACACTTTATGACAGGAGTGAGGAAGTTGCAGATGGTTTAGCCTACAGTTCCCACTATCCTTCACCATTGGCTGTACTGACTGAAGTTAAAGTAACGCTGGTTACTATCCAGTATAATTTTTTGAAATTTAGGGGGCCATCCTATGCATGTCCCCCACTCATGGGTGCATACCTTAATGTGATGAGGGGCCTCCAAGGAGGCCAAGACTGTTGCTCTAGACTGGTCTCCTAGCAGGGTCACC